CAGCATGAGCCTCTTTAGGAGCTGAGGTGTCAAATATTTCTGCAAGAGTCTCAAGCAGAACAGGACTTTCACTAAGCCCTGTCTGCACATTCTTTGCTTCAGCTTCAAGAGTCACGGTTGCTGTGTTCGGATCCCCTCTGTGACTGAGTTCCTCAGTGTGCGTCAGTCGAGGGGGGAACTGAGTCTTACCCATGTTCAGGCTCTCTGTCGCACTTCCATTCGGGAAAGGGTTGAGATACCTTTCTTCTCCTTCCTCTGGGTCTGTCCTCAACCCCCCTTCCTTCCTAAAGCCCGTTTGCTGAATGGACGTCTCATCTACCAGCTGATCACATCTGCCATCTCTACCTTTAACCAGACCTCTTCCAGTTCCCTGCTGATCCCTGTCACTTACTGGAAATGACAACTGGCTTTCCTCAGAAGGCCTTCCTCCTAGCCCCGCTTCAGAACAGACAATTTTGTCGGATGATGGGCTGATTTTTGGTGATCCATTCTCAAGATACTTGCCTTTGGCTTCTAGAATGTCTGTAGAGTCTGACCCTTGAACCAACTCCACCTCTTCTGAGGCGGTGCCTTCAGCATTAGACAGTGACACACCTTTAGTTGCCATGTGAGTGGACAGACTTGTTTTGTCTTCCTCATCAGCTTCAGTGGAAAGTTCTGGATGGCTGCTTCTTTCCACGTCTTGCCCTCTCTTACCAGCTGATTCTGGCTGTAAAACGCTTGCACCGTGCTGCTTTTCTAACGGACTAGAACTGTGCCTTTTGTCTAGGAGAATCTTGTCACTGACACTTCGGTTTTCACCTCCGTGTTCTTTTATGGTAGTAGTGTGCAACTGGGTATGGTCAACTTGGTGCTCTTCATTCTCATCTTCTGCTCCTTGTCCTCCTGGCCTGTCACCACCGTCCTGACTGCTGTGATCCCCATTGTCCTCATCATCCGTGTCACTATCATTGCTCATAGAAGCCCCGCAACTTTCGCTACTTTGTATGGAGCCTACCCCATCGGTATCAGACTGGCTTTCTCCACTGGTGTCATGCTCTTCTCTGTCCCCTCTCCAACGACTACCAGGTGCTAATGAAGCTCCTAAGCTCTCTCTCCTTCCTATAATCTCGCCCTCAGTCAACGAATCAGACTCACTATTCTCAAGGTCAGGTGGGTTCTCACTTTCGGATACAGGCTCCACTAACTGTTCATCCATCTTGTCAGAGCCGCCTGAATCAAACTGTTTCTGGCCAACTAAATATAACTCAGGTTTCTCAATACCTACAAGAAATCCCTGAGGACAACATAGTTTGTTCTCCACACTTAAGCTCTCATCCGTTCCTCCTGGAGGAAACACAGGATTTTCCTTCTCTTTCACATCATAAAAAATGTCATCAGGAGGAGGGGTCCTGTCACTTTCCTCCTGCAAGGTGTCATAGTCCTCGGGTTGCAAACAATCACGGTCATCACCTTGAAGGATTAGAGAGTCATGGTCCTCATCTTCAAACAAGGGGGTATCATAGAAAAAGTCATCACTGTCGCTGTCTGTTGTCGTGTTGCTCTGCTGACCGGCCAGCAGTGATGTCTCATAGTCACCAGCATCAATGGCTCCTTTACGTGACAGTGAACCACAAACAGATCTGTTGGCAGTGCCTGAGCCATCCCCAGGGATCATGGTACAGGAGTCGTCTTCCACCTCAGACCCCGTTTTCTCTGCCTCATCTGCCCGCCAAGTGGTTTCACTCTCAGCAGAAGTGTCTGTCGTGTATTCATCACTGTGATAGTGCACTAGAGGGTTGCTACACTCAGTGTCTATGGGCTTCTGTCCACAGGGCGCCCCCTGTAGGCTGATGCTAATAGCTGCGATTCCTAGGTACTGGTCTTGAAACTTTTCTCTTGTGCTTTGATCAGCCTGCATACTCTGGTCACTGGATGACAACGTAGCAGCTTTGCATAAATATCCTGTGTTCTTTGGGGTATGGGTATCACTAAAACTCCCCTGACTGTGCCTCAACTCATCATGGCTTAACAGGGCACTTAGCCGGGGGGAATAGTCAAAGGCAGAGGGTCCCTTCGGTATATTCTCATCATCTTCCTTTTCATTAGAATCACAAAATCTACTGGTTTCTGATGTCAAAAAGTTAGAATGGTTGCCTTCATCTGGATGTGTCTTTGTATCAAGCTCACTTTGATTTTTACAGTCTTTAGGTATGTTACCAGAATCAGGTCTGAGCGTGCTCCCTTCAGGCCGTGTTGAAGATGATGTGGGTTTGGGGACACGCACTCTAGATGGACTACCGGCTTTCTGAGCAACTGTTGTATCTGTTAGGTTTTCTGGCCCAGGCAATTCACCATTGTTATCATTGTTTCCCAGTTTACAAAACGCCCCATTCATGTCCCACTTTGTGTTTTCAAGAGACTCTTTATGTGCAGGGTGTCTGTGACGACATTTATCACAAGCAGCTGCTGAAGCTGAACACTCGTGCTTTTCTTCACTCAAAGCCCGATCAGGAAAGACATCAGGGATGGTTAAGACAGACAGGCTTTCTCTTATGGATGTGTCGGCTCCGAGTTCTGCACCGCAGCTTTCCAGGAGCATGCCCACGGCCTCGTCCAAGTCTCCATCATAAAGCAAGAGCCTGTGCCCCGTGTTTGCATCCATGCAGCTGTTCACCATTAAATATGATAGGAATAACTTTTTAGTTTGTTCCGAGCTCTGAGCTGTGACTGGCTCTTCGCCATCAGAGCTGTCCTCTTCTTGTCTGTAGTCGTGAACTGTGGATGGCTGGAATTTACAAAAAGAGAGCCACCTTCTGGCGTTTTTACAAGCTTCCAAATCTCCTAAATCTGGCATTTTGTCTGGCAGTGTTATATTTTTTAAAACTGATGCTGTATTGATATCTATGATCCCCAGCTGCTTAGCGGCATCCAGATCGATGACCTGAGAGCTTTCTGGGATATAGAGAGCAGCGATTTTCTGTCTCCCGTTCAGAATTTTGGAGGCTAATTCATTTGTAATCAACTCTTGCTGTAAGGAAGAAGATGTGGGAAATATCTCACCGGAGTGGGGCCAGATGAGTCCAACATAGCTCCGCTGAGCTTCCAGAACCAGCAGCGCGCTGCTGGATGTTATCAACTCACACTGTACCGCTTCATCCACCGTTAATCGCTTAGCGGGGTTCGAGTGCACGATCCCACCTGTCTGAACCTGGTAGGTGAGGATGCTGCTTGCGGTGTCTCTGTCAATCACTCCGTCCACCACGGCTTCTTCAACAGTCATTTTCCGACCAGAGTTGCAGTCGACGAGACCTCCAGACAGAAGCTGTGCCCCTAACAGCCTAAACATGGTTTCTCGGTCTATGAGTCCTTCGTGAGCCGCTCTCAGAATGCTAACACTTCTTCCACACTTCAGTGTTATTCTGCCAGCTTCCTGCGGTCTCACTGGCAAAAGCCACATCCTAGTATTTTCCTGTAAAACACTCCTTTGAACCATATCAGTTAAAGATACCTTCTCAGAAGTGCACGGGTCAATAAGGTCCTTGCAAGTATCTTGCCTTTCTAGGATCTTAGAAAACAAGGTGGAGGAAATCAAGTTCTGTTGGAAAGCCTTTTGTAAGGTTAGGTGTTCACCTGTGGCTGGAACAACCAGGGAGCCCGCAGAGAGCAGTATCTCAAGAACTCGGATGGCTGTGGATTCTGAGATCACACCCTGGGCCAGAGAATCAAGCACGGGGATGGTGGTTGGCGATGCAGTAGAAATGACCTTCTTTGCTTTATTTAGTTCTTTCAGTTGGTGCAGAATTTGTTCATCAATGAGGCCGTGGCTTTCAGCATCTTTGAGTTCAAAACACTTTCTTAACTCTGGTGAAATTAAACCAGAAATCACTAGCTGTGCCTCAAGCAACCTGATTCCTGTTTCGTAGTCAATAAGGCCTCTTAGAACTGCCTGAAAGACAGAAAGGACCTCTCCAGTGGTCTGATTGATGGTGCCCGCAATCACTTTCTCCGGCTGAAAGGGAAATGCAGAAAGCCCGGGTCAGTCTGGTACTCGAGGCAATTCCTTGCAGTGTAGGTGGTTTTGTTTTATAATAATAGACTTAATCATAAAAAAGATCCTCTACTTACCAAGGTAGCTTGTGAGTGTTAGGCAGCTCAAACGCACAAGTGACCTACGTCAGTGATCTACTCAACAGCACAGGATGTGATAAAGCTTTGAAAACAACATGCATCTGTGAAGTGAAAACTGAACATCCGTGTACTAACAAGGTTAGTGAGGGCACAGAGGAGCTGCTGATGGTGAGAAAACAGAACACAGATCTATCCAGAAGGCAAATCATGCTTTCTGCATCTGGGTGAGATTAGAGTCTAGTGACAAGAGAGAGAGAGAGCATCAACTCCATGCTACTGATGTTTACAGCATACAGCCTTTTCCAGAGTTAAGTAAAAGAATAAGGAGCCAAAAAACTTGTCACATACCCCCAAAACATGACAAATTATGTGGTACTGTTCCTGGAAATCATGGGGTTAAATATAACAAATACTCTTTAACTACCAAACATTGTGTTGGGCACATTACTATGAGCCAGACAATTTTTAAATAATTTCTATTTTTTTTTAAAAAAAGATGTGAGAGTATTTTCACTTTAAGACATAGCCTCCCACCACTAAAACAACCCTCATGGATATCTCTGACAATCAAAAACCTCCATAGCTTATCAACGGTAAAGATGATCCATGGACTCTCTTCCGACCATATTTTATAATAAAATCCTGAACATGATATTGAAAGAATGGCTTTGAAAAGACGTGTTAGACAATGAACGAGCCCTCTTTCACCATGCAAGGCAGAGATTAAGGCATAGGATGATGGTCTGCACACGTAAGATAGCATTTTATAAACAACACAGAAGCCTGTAAATCCTTAAATTCTATCAACATACTCTCCACATAGACACCCCAAGGCACATTTCCATGTGTCCTCAGTCATGCCAGACCTCACGTCTTGTGAGGAGCGTTACCTTCTCCTCGACCTTCGCCTCTCCTGAGGGTTGTAACTCTTGCTGTTTCAGAGATTCACTGAATAATAAATTGTAACCTTCCTGCAGGGTTTTCACCTGTTTCTCCAAATCACTTCTTTCTTCTTCTGTCAGCCTATCCAAAAAACATCAAGGGGTCAACGTTAGCTGTCAAGTGTAATGGTATGTAACTTGCTTCAGTGTCTGTGCTACATAGCATTAAGATAGAGCTGCTTATGTGTGTTTCCCAGGTCTTGGAATGATGCTATATGAAACTAAGGCGCCTATATAAAATATCCAAGATTCTCTCCTTTGTCTGAGAAGGAGACTAAAGAGTTCAATAGGTCAGTACCTCTCTGAGATAAGAACAAACTCCAGAGTGATTACTGTCAGGTTGATCAGGGAAAGATTCTTCAAGGAATATAACAAACTTGTTTTGGGGTAAACCACGAAGAGGATATTCCAAAAGGATTTAAGACAAGGGAAGATGCCTTCTTTGTCTGAATCACTGGTGAAAAAGAGCACTAACATGCATGTCATGCACATCCCCACGCATGTATTCTATGAGCACACAGGCACACATAGAACACATTAAGGACATTTTCCAAAAGGTAGTTTCAGAGTACCTTGAGGAATTAAAACATGACTCAGAGCCTACACTGCTGCTCACTGGCTTCTAATGTTCAACCAGTCCAAGGTCTGTCTGAGGACTGGCAGCAAGCTGTGGCATGGAAAGGCTAGATGTGACACACAGCTAAGTCCACACTCTTCACATTCTATTAAGCGAACTGTGATCGGTTTGTATTCCACTTTTAGTGTCGGGGATGATGCTCTGCCTTCTGTCTGATGAGTGAATTTTCAGAACATGACCCTACATTGAATAAAAGGGCTAACGAAAGCCAACATACTTGTCTCCATGTTTAGCCAAAAAAATCTGTGTGGTTTGCAGAGCTTCCGAGAACTGCTCCTTCTTGGCTGATATCTCTTTACTGGAAATCTGTAAGGTAAGAAGGCACATTCAAAGCCTCCCCACAGAAAGAGTATTATATAGCCACTAAAAATACAGAATTTTAATCATGATGAAAGTGGCAGGTGTACTTTCTGGGTGACACAATTAAGTAACTATCAGCTACTGGTGGCGTGATGGCCTAAGAGTTCATCTCTCTTCAGCATACACAAGAGGAAGTGCAGTGCCCTCTGTTAACAGTGGTATCATCTTCACAAGGGAATCTTAATCCAACACACCACAGTTCTTTAGTCTGTCCCAGCCCATCAAAGAATCTGCCAAAGCTCAAAGATCCAGCACTGGCCCAGCATCATCTTTCTATGTCACCATTTTCAAAAAGACACTGTGACTATGGGGTCCTCCCTTCCTGAAGCTCCTCTCACTATGTTGAAAGCACTATTCAGGAGGCCTGTAGATCAGGAGATAACTGCTAACGATGGTTCCTCCATTCTATGCCATCTGTCACTACCAGAGAAGACAAACTCATTAATTATGGGAAAAGGGGTTTGTCTAAGACTTGTCCCAAACCCCATTTCTATTTGATCAAAGTTTCCATTCTTATAAATGAACAGGGATGAGAGGAAATATTGGGCCAACGAAAAGATGAGAGGCATACTAATCAGTCAATTTGGTATGGATATAGGAAACCACAAAGCTAAGTGGAAATCTCTGAGGACTCATTATGTACGTCAAACCACTTTCTCCTTCAAAAGGGAAAGCAGGTGTTCTGGTAGAAGTACAGTTAGGGCCACAATCTTATTTAAAAGTGTCTGTATGAGGTCTAAATCTGATGAACATTCTGGAGAATTTTGTAACTATAATACGAAGACACCAAGTATGTACAATTCATGCTTCTGAAGAAACACATTCTCTCAAGACATCTTCGCTCAGGCTTACAAGCCTTGTTTGAATGCCTTCCTGTTTGATAGTGAGGAAAAAACCTGGGAAGAAGGTATTTTAAATCAAACATTTGAGGCAAATTACTTTGGAGTGTTTTTGCTGAAAAGCCATCAAATGCTTTCTGAATTCTTAGTTCTTCCATTTGTATGATATCACACCTCAAGGCCAGCCTGGGCTACATAGCAAGGGTGATACTAGCCTAGACCTTGTCTGCCCCAAACAGAACCAACCCAACAAGAAAATACAAACTAGCAGGAATTCCTAACATCAGGAGTAGCACGACTAGGATGTCTACCTTAATGCCAATGTCCTGAGCTTCCAGTGGCAATTCTGTGGAGTGGCAGCACCCGCTGCAGTGTCCTAACACACATGTACCAGTGGGCAGGGAAGGCAGGACGGGCTAGAAACTGTATTCAATGGGAAGAATATACAGTGCAGAGGTTGGACCACAAAGCTCTCCTCATGAAACAGAAAAGGCCCAGGAGAGGTCTACTAAACACTCAACAATGTTCAGAGCCTAGACGGTATTCCCTGTGTGTTTCTCTGATGTGGGTGGCATGTGGGGCTGATGATGTCACTAGTCAACAATCCCAGTCATTCTAATCAGGGAGTTGAGATGTATGAAAAGGCCCTATAACCTAATGGCTTGCTGATAATGACATCAACAAAAATGATTCTGGCTTTGGAATAAGACACTCTCTTCTCGAACATTCTAACTATGACTCTGGGCAAAATGACTAAGGACCTAAACTATTTAATTTTTATTGTAAAAGTTTGTAACTCTGGGGTGAAGTAAGGTAAAGATTTATAGTTTGTGCTTTGTAGACTGTATGATTCAGGAAATTCTACCCAGTTAGCATTAGGACCTCTGTGAGTATACCTGTTGCTTAGAGAATAGAGGTTTCTCAGCTTTCTCCCCATCTCCCAGTGTCTTGCTGATATTTGATACCCATTTCTGCAATTCTTTAGCTTTTTCAACATGTTGTTTCTTCTCTTCATCCAGTGACTTCTGACGAGTGGTTTAAGAGAAAAAAAAGAAACATCCCAATAAATGACCGAGCTTCTCAACTAGCCTCTCCTCTCTGCTGAACAAGAACGCACAAATGTTTCCCATCATGCAAGCAGGTTACTGAGATATTTTATTCATTCACTTAACCATGTCCACCCCACGGCACAGCAGATGTCTTTGCGGACAGGAAAAGCTTTGCCGATCAGTCTCGCATCACTGTTCTGGCCACCCAGCTGCTTCAGAAGTATGACAAATAAGCAAACTCAACTTTATTCATGAGACGGGGGGAGAAGTTTGGGAATCACTGCCTTTACATTAGCATTACAATCGCAAATGCCTTGACAGATGCTATCGGACAAAAGGAGAGAGGAAAAGGAGAGACTACACACAGATGCCGCTCCTCCAATACACAACGCACTTGTTAGATTTTAATTCCAAAGTCTCAACCAAAATAAGAGTTAACAGCGAACACTTTAACATGTAGAGAAAGTCACTGCCTGCAGGAAGCAAGCGATCTCCAGCCTCAAAGTTCTGGAGAACAGTTGCATGTTCTCTGGTCCTATGGTGCTGTGTGAGGTATTTGTTCAGGACGCACAATGTATGATGTCATAAATGTATTGAATCTATTCAATGACACGACTACAAAGGAGGTCAGAAGAACTGAGCCGGTGAATGTGTCGATGGTCGTGGGCACCACACTCACCCCATTTTCTAGGCAAAACCCATTTAGTGAGATAAGATTTTTTTTTTTTTTAAAGAAGTAACTATTTCAGGGGCAGCCACTCGTTTCTTGCTTTCAAGTTAAGGAGGACCATGTTTTCTGAGCAGGGAGCTATTTCTAGCCTAGAAGAAATGAACAGTGCTTCAACTCGGTGACACAGTTCCTAGGCTGCACATTTAGCAGACACCATCTGCTCTGAACAGATGGCGGGATGCAGCCTGCAAGGCCTCTGCATGGAGTGAAACGCCCTACTGGGAAGAATAGTAGAGGTTGGATATCCCTGTCCCCAAGGGTTCAGACACTTCTAACAGCTTAAGTCCCGTGTGGAAATCAAAATCGGCTTTTTCCAGGGCCTCTTTATATGTCAATTTTCTTTTAGTCTGGGGGCACATTATATTCCTGACATATGACTTTTGATCTTTGAGTCTGGTGGCGATGAGGACGTCAATGATGCCGACCTGAAGGGCCTCTTCGATGGTCAGCCTCGAGTAAATCTGAGGCTCTATCAGGCCCCCTGTCAGGTACTGAAACTCCAGGCACCGGATGCCCATCTCTTTACTGATGATATTTGCATTCACAGCTTCCACCACTGACATCATCTTATTACTGACAGGGTGGCTGATCCCCGTGATTACTAATTCACACTGCCGTAGCTGCTGGGCGAAGCCCTCATCAACCAGGCCTCTATGCAAAGCCTCGGCTACCCTGTACTTTTTCCCAGTTAGGGGATCAATGATCCCTCCCGTACAGACTTGGGCTTCAAGGCATCGGAGGGCTGTAATCCTATCAACCAAGTTTCTACGGGAGGCTTTCAGTAAGGAGATCCGTTCCCCGCTAGTGGTCAGCCAATAGCCTGCAATGGGACTGTGCAAATCCTTCTTGGGAACTAGCTTGCTCAGCAGAAAGTCAGCCAGCTCTGTTAGTGTGGTAAGGCCTTCCTGATACTTTTGGATCAAGGCTTTGTCTAGCATTCCCTGCTCTACGGCTTCACTAATATTGAACTGCAGACCAGTTTTAGTATCAGTTAGCATGTGAGAAGGATGCCCGTAGGAGTCAAAAAATGTGGCTTCCTTCCACTGATACTGCTGCCCCGAGAGTTCGAGATAAATATTTTTGTCAATCAGGTTTCTCTGGAAAGCCTCAAATGCCGTCAGTTCCGCCCCAGTTTTGGTATCTACCACGGCAATTTTGTGGGTTTTCTCTATGTTGAGATTGGATATTTCCCTCTCTCCAAATGGCAGGAGAAAACACTGGCAATCTACATCGAACACACAGATCTGCAGTAACTCCGAGTAATACAGAGCCTGCTTGTTGTTGGGATTAGGAAAGACTCTCGTGTTGCTGGACGGTTCATGCAGGAACTGTAGGACAGCATTGTTCAGCAAGCCCTGCTGCACAGCCATTTCTGGAGGGACACGGACGCCTCTCACGGGGTCGATGACACCCCCACTGGCAATCTGTGCCTCCAAGATGTGTTTACCTTTCTTCCTATCAAGCATTCTATTTTCCATTGCCTGGAACACAGAGAGCGTCTTAGAAGCATGTGAATATCCCAAAACTGCCTTCTCTGCCTCCAGGAGCCTATTCCTGAACTCAGGATCAACGATGCCTTGAAGAACCGCATCTTCAACACAGTAAGTCTGACCAGAAACAGGATCAATTATAAAACCTGTTGCTGCCTGAGCTTCTAAAAAGGCTAGAGCCATCATTTTGTCTATTATGATTTTCTGAGCCGCCAAAGTGAACGATATTTTTTCTTTGGAAGATTCAAGATAAAGTCCTGCGATTGATGTGGCTTTGGTCAAAAACTTGCTAAGACTTCTCTGAACTTCTTCGACAGTCTTCAGACCAAGCCGCAGCTGCTCCACTGTTCTCATGTCCAGAAGCTTTGCTTCAACCAGCTGCCTGCCAGTCACAGTGTGCCTGAGCCCTTGGAACTGAAACTCATCATCCCTAACGGAACATGCTTGGTTCAGGTCAAAGCTCTGAGAAGTCTCTGGTTCTACGCTTTGCTTAAGGAAATCTCCCTTGAGTCCACCGGATGTTCTGGACCCTTCCAGCATCCATCCACCAGCACTGGAACCCAGTCTCTTCTCTTGTTTTAAGGTTGTGACTTCTGTATGCGTGCCACAGTGTTTGTTCTTAGCTATCTGTAATAGGAATGTTTAAGACGTTAAATGCTGCCCAAAGAGCATGACACTTTATTAGTATTCACCCAGTCACAGTCCCTTCAACTATAACTGAGTGAAGAATTGCAAACCCAGGGTAGGGATAACAATATTCTGAGAGACTCAAGAGTCAGCAACTAAATACATTAAAGTGGTGTGTGGGAAGAGGTCAGAATGAAGCCTGGCCACAGAGTATGCTAGAAATTGAAGGTAATATCTGATTCTTCTATGTTTTTCTGATCTCTCTTGTAGTTCTGAGACTCTAACCCTGGGCCTTCTACATGCTAGGGAAGTCTTCTACCACTGACCTGCATCCACAACTATTTTCTAGATTCTATTTTTTTTAAATAGTCATATTAAAATATTTACTCCTATAGAAGTAATAGGTTACCCATCATATTTATGTCTCATCTCAAGCATTCATAAGTCAGCGATCATTTATAGTAAATGCAGTCAAACTGCTGGGAATTTACATTATTTTTTTTTCCCCTTTGCACGCAGCTAAGCATTCAAAACTGTTAAAAATCTAGTCTTGGAGGGGAAAAAAAAAGAAATAAAAGAAGCAGCCTGACATGATATAGCTAATAAGGTCTCAGGCCAGTGTGTACCTCTAAGGGTGTCAAAAGCTTCACCAACTCCCTTTCAAGTTTGTCATCCTGATACGTCACAGGCGGTCTGGAAGGACGCAGGGCTTGCTCCCTCATCGTCTCTAGCTCGGACAGTCTCGTGATTGGGTTTTTATCATCAAACGTTATCTGCAATTCAGTGCTTGTCTGAGAAAAATACTCTGAGTAGCACGGTTGGCTGTTCTCCTTGTCCAGCAGAGCCCCTGGCTGTCGGAACTGAACCTCCTTTGGAAGTTGTTCAGCAGCCCTGTGTGACCATTTTCCTTCTGCCTGGTGTGGTTCCTGAGTCCATCTGGACAGTGGAAGTCTGGACTTTAGGGTAAGGTGTCCAGAGTTCCCGGGGGAGATCTCTGCAGGGTGGTGGCACTCTCTCCCTGACATATCAAAAGCTGATGTGAAGGTTTGGTCTTGGGCCGTGCTCTTTTTCTGAATTTCGCACTGGAGCATTAGTAACTGGTGCTCATGTTCCTTTATCTGCTGGTCCATTTTTTGCTTGAGGTTTTCAACCTCCCGTCTCTGGGCCAACAGCTCCTCCTCAAGTCTCCGACATTTCTGATAGTGGTTTGCTTCTACGTGCTGGCCTTGCTGCATCTTCTCTCGGTAGCATTGAAGCTGCCGCTCAACTTCTCGGAGGTTCGTCTCCCACAGCTTCGCGTTCTCTTGCGCCCGGCAGTTTTCTCTCTGGAGAGAGACAAAGTCGTGCTTGATGCCTGAGATATCGTTTTCGGTGATGACCTTGGACTCCATGAGCTTTTCCATCTTCTTCCGAAACTCATCCGCGGAGCGCTTGAACTTATCTGACTCTTCCTGGAGCAGGATCATCTTCCTGTGGGTCATCTGCTCTTCAATGGTCTTCAGGTGCAGCTCATCTTGTACCCTCTTCAGCCTGTCATTCAGCTCCTGCACCTGAGCTCGCTGCAGCTGCGCCTTCTGCTCTTCCCGCCGCTTCTCCTCTTTGGAGGCGTTCAGTTCCGCACTCAGGGTCCTCACCTCCTTCTCCGTATTCTGGATGATAATGTTCTGCTGGTCACATTTTTGCTTAAACTCGCTTACTAGGTTTTGACTTTGGGCCAGATCATCTTCGAGGCTTTTAATTTTTCTGTGGAAATCCTGTTCTGTTTTTGTCTGTTTGTGCAAATGTTCGTTGGTGTTCCGTAACTGGTCCTTAAAACCATCCGCCTGGATTCGCAACACCTCGCATCTTTGCTGGATGGCTTGCTTCTCCCGGACTATGTTCTTGGACTCTTCCTGAATCCTTTGCATCATCAACTTCGTTTCGTCATTCTGCCTAGTGAGCTCGTCCACCCTTTGCTTGAGCATTTCTGCGCACTCGTTGCTTTTCTCCAGCTCTTCGTTGAGCTTTCGGATTTTTTCATTATTTTCTTTCTCGGCTTTGATATTCTGAAGCAACTGTGCATGGCTCCTCTCAAACTCTTCTTTCAGATGATCCGAATTTCTCTGGCAGAGTTGTCTCCTTTCTTCTGAGAGTTCCTTCTCATCCCGTGAAGCGTGAACCTGGGAATTTAGATGCTGAAAGTTCCTCTCGGCTAGCGCATGTGCCCTGGTGACTCTGTCGACTTCCCTCTGGAGTTTCCCTTTCTCTTGATGGAGGGACTCTAATTCCAACTGATAGCCATGCTTTATTTTCTTGAGATCGTTTGCTTCCTGCCTGACCTCTTCGGCTTTGTCTGTCGTTTGGTTCAGCTGCCTGCCAAGGTCTCTGAGCTGCTGGGAATAGCGTTCCTGGACCTGATCCTTCCTTTCCAGATCCTCCTTGAGGCACTTGAGTGTGTTATTTGTTTCGTCCAGTTTATCTTTCAGCAGCCGAGCCTTTTCCTCAGAGGAAGCCTTTTCGAGCTGGACCGCGCTGAGTTCAAACTTCAGCTCCCTCATCTCTTTCTCTGCCTTTCTATTGGCTATGGTCAGCTCATCCACTTGCTGTTTCAGCTCCTCCTCTTTCTGTCTGTCCTGCTCCTTCTGGGGGCCTGCCTGTGCCACTGCAGCGCTCTCTCTACAGGAAAACTGAATTTCGGTAATTTTTCTTCTGGCTTCCAACTCGATCTTTTGCTTCTCCTTCAGCTGCTTCTCAGCCGCCTGCTTCTGAAAGGCCAGGTCCTGCTCCATCCGCTTCACTAGCTTCAGGAGCTCCTCCTCGTGGTCCCGCTTACGCTGGAGTTCTTCCACCAGGGCCCGTTTCTGCTGTTCCAGATCACTGAGGCTCGTGTCTTTCCTCCGCAGATGATCCTCCAGCGTTTGCCTGGTGAAGGTGTTCTCCTGCAGTTGGCTCCGGAAGTTGCGGAGGTTCTCCTCCACCGCGGCTCTCCGAGCCTCCGCCTCGGCTGTGAGCTGCCTCACCCGCTCCAGCTCCCGCTCAGCAGCTTCCTTCTCCCTCCCGATTGTCTCCAGCTCTCGGCGGTACTGCTTGGCCTCGCTCTCGGCCCTCAGCTTCTGCAGGGCGATGTCTTCCACGTTCCTCTGTTGCTTTCTCAGTTCGTTTTCGGCGGCCTCTTTAACTTTTGGGAGCTCCTCCTCGACCCGAGATTTCTGTTTCTTTAGCTCAGCCACCATTGTTTCCAGTTCACTGATCTTTCCTGTAAGTTTGCTATTCTCAACCATGGTTGCTTTCTGGCGCTGCAGTAGATCTGAATATGCCCCGTTTTCAGAATTCTCTTTAGACCTTTTCATCTACGAGAAACATTCAAAGGGTCAAAGGTGTTCCATTGACATAGATGCTGCAGCCTCTGGAGCAGTACTTACGAAACCAAGGGCACTCAGATGCAGAACAAGCAGCTGTCACCAGTACCAGCACCTTCAGAGCAGAAGCCTCAGAAAGCCAGAAGGGAGGAGACAGAAATCCTGCAAGACCCTTTGTTTCTCAAAGAATGCCTTCTTCCCTTCAGGAGTAATTTCATATAGAAAATTAGGTGGCTTAAGGCTCTGAAGCAAGAAAGCCTCTACAGAACATGAGTGGAACCCTGAACTTTTACAAATATAAAACATTAAGCTTTTCTCATAATGATATCCGCTCTCATCTCACACAAAACTGAATTCTGTCAGCTTAGAACAACGCCACCATACAGGAACCAAAGAACACAAGGTTTAGTTTTCAATAGCGGAGTCCAGTGGAAATTAAACATGATACGTGCAGTTCCATGTTTATGATTAAAGAAACAGAACATCAGAATAGAGAGCCAAAGTCAGAAATCATACTTAAAGACACAGGAAAGGAGAATTATGCACACAAACATGACAATTACAATGACAGTCATTGCTAATGCAAAGGCAGCACCTGTCCCTGACGGCTTTGGAGAGATGAGCTTCAAGCACTCACAGGTGGTTGTGGTTGGCATGCCTCATCTGAAATCCATTTTGTTAAGACCCTTTAGATACCCCACGAATACAAAGGTATTTGTGAAATAGGAAGGATTTAAAAAATACACACAGGGATTCATACCCATCCTACCAAATAAATATCAGGAAACCTTTCAGGAGCTGGGAGGGCTGGGGAAGTAAATATTAACTGAAAATGCTGCATGTGTGGACTAGTTTACAAACATATTCTAGTTCTCTTACTTAACACCTTGAGTCAGTATCAATTTGAAAAATGACTGCAGAGAGAAAATAGCTGAAATAGAAAAACAGAAATCATTTTATAGATACCCTTTGTTTTCACTGGAACATATGTGACTTTCAAGAACTTAACTGATAACAAATCTTTTTCTTCCCCCACTTTCTTGATCTCCGATAATGTGGGGCTTAAAAGTTCAGCTCCCTTCATTAACCTCCCCACGGTTGTCAATACGATTCCATGGAGAACCAAGTCTCATTGCAATCGCTAGGTTCAAAGGTGTGTTTCAGTTCTGTATCAAAGTCAATCCTTAGGACACTATGGCATTCTGCATACCGAAAACATGAAGTTTTCTCAGGGCACAGACACACACACCTGTGATCCCAGTACTCGGGTTGAAACAGGAGGATTTAGAGTTCTGGCTCATCATTCTGGGTTAACCAGAGAGTCACTGTCTCAAAAACAAAACCCACAAAATTTAATTTCTAACAATTTTTTCTGAGAACCAGTCCCTCATCAAATATTGCTCTGAAACATAGTTTAGCTGTAACCAAATTATTTTGAGCTGTTTCCTTGATCATAATCTGCTTGCCTCAGCAAAAAATAAAATAAAAATAAAACATTGCTGAGTCTTCAATATCTTAATTAGAGTAATTTTGGTGGTTTATTAATAATTCTATGTTACCTAATTAACTAGAATTTTTTACTTCTTAAAATTACTTTCAATAACTTAGGCCAGTTACTGACTTTCCATCAGTCTTACTCATGAAAACCAGTTCCTCGAAAGGTCTCTCAGCTCTATCCAGAGGAATCAATCACTTACAGAGTTGGATGTTTGTATCAGCTACAGAATTTCTTCACCAAGCCAATGTTCTATATTTCTCCAACACATGCTGTTACTTCTGAAATCTTCATGTATCTCTGCTTGTATGTTGATTATGAAAAAATGATCTCTCAGGGCAGTTCATCCTGTAGAACTTCAAGACTGTGTCAGAAGTCCTACCCTTTGGGGGTCTAAAACCTGAGTTAGTTACATATCTTCTGTTTGCTTTTTGAGATAGGGTTTCTTCTTATAGGCCTGGCTGTCCTAGAACTAGCTTTATAGACCAGGCTGGCCTTGAACTCAAAGAAATCCACCTACTTCAGCCTCCTGCGTGTGGGATTAAAGGCATGTACTACCACCACCCAATTGAGTTACATATTTTTAAAAGATATTCCATTACTATGACCTTTAAACAGAAGGGTATTAAATTTTATTTTAAATCATAGTCTTTGTGTATCTTCAAAACTATACAGTTTTTATTTTCAATTCATTATAAATCTTTAGTGCTTTGGTAACAATTAGCATTTCGATCTTTGAAAATATCCTTGTTTCTGTCCATTTCTATCTTACTGTAGGAATTGAGCTGAGTCTCCCACATATGAACAGTTAAATACACAGCGTGAGAACAGAAAGGGATTTAAATTATTTCATGTCTAATAACCTCATATAAGATTTAAAAGACACGTACACAATTTAGAATGGAATAGCATCTTTCAAAATGTAGTGAAAATAAGAAAATTCTATCACAGGCAAGACATGCGTTATACTTACTAAGAGAGCTATGAGTGCTATGAGTACTTTGGTAAGCACACAGGAAGCTGATTGTAAAGCTTAGTGTGTGTACATTAGTGGGTTAGTGTGGAGACTCTGAACGGACTAAAACAGTCCCTGAAAGTCACATTTGGAAGGCTTGAATGTGACCGCCATCCCACAGGCACTGGCTGGTACCTTTTGCTCTTTCAATAAATGATCAACAGCACTGTGGCAGGCAGAGACACCTATGGAACTGCAGCACTGCAGCCATGACAGCCAGGCCCCAAATTTTACCATTTACACGTTTTAGCATTCTCCCAACTGTTTTTGTCTGTTCTGGGATGAGGAAGAGAAAAGTCATCCAAAGAAGAGAGCACAGAATACTCCTTTGGAGACCAGAACCAATAGGTTTTCATGCAATATATCTTTATAAGTCATTTCTTACTCTTCCTGTTTCTCAACACAATTTTAAGTTCAGGATCTAAGCTGTACAAATCCTTTGTATCAGAAAGAGGTTTGTTCTTCTTAACATGTATAAGTTTTTTGGCTTAAAGCTCCACACGTCTCAAGTCCACTCTTTTGCCCAAATATCTACTACTGCGTTTGCCTTTCTTAATACAGTTGATTTTAATGTAATTCTTTAAAAATGTATGTTAACTTAAGATAGATCAACACAGATGTGTCTGCAGGGAGCCTCTCTACAGACTTCATACGAGCAGCACCCGAACTTGACAGAAACTGTTTCTCAGCTGTGAAGAAGCCGGACCGACTTCTACCCAAATCTTCCCACTGACACAAGACTGTTTACCACACTAATGCTATCCCACTGGTTCTGAAATAGCTGCTTTTGAGGTTTGGAATCAAACCCAGAACAAAAGCATGCTAAGCCAATACTCCTGTCCACCTGAAGTAAAACTTTAAAAATGCTTTTCTGTTTTGGAGAATCCAAAAAACCAAAAACAAAACAAAACAAAACAAAACAAAACAAAACAAAACAAAACAAAAAAACCCAAATCTCCAAGACTTTCAGTCTTCCAGGGTAAGCTAATTAACAACTTGCATATTAGTATAAATTCATCAGGAAGGTTATTTTTTCCTTCCCAAAGCATTACAGTTTCGGGCTCAAACCTAGTTCCTGTTCACATGGATGTAACATGTTAACGGTTACCTCCTCCTCTTCCAGCCTTTTCAACGAATCGCCAGCAAATTTAATATACTGTGTCATAAGAGTGACCAGGGCAGTGTACCGCGTCCGTAGGTCCATGAACTGCAAGGGGGAAGTGAAGAGTGCATTATTCATGCGGCCAAGGCAGTGCGCGAGTGCTGACTGATGCCCACCCTAACGACTAGGCTTTGGGGAAGAAAGCACACACTTATCCAGTAGTGGGTCTCACTTCAGGAGTAATGAGCTTCTGCCCTCTTTGTTCACCACACCAAGTCATAACTTCTTTCCAGATTTACTCATGAAAGACATTATTTTCTGTGTTAATAAACGATCTTGACTTTAAAAGAGCTTTTAAAGAGACTTAATAAAACGTAGTGTTATGGCACTTTCTGTCAGGGATGATTTAAAAGAAATACTAGAAGTGAACAGTGACGAATCCCCAAAATTGTTATATAGTAATATGCCATTAAATCACTTAAAAATAATTAAAATGGCCAATTTTATATTAGGTGTGTTATACTAGGATAAAAGTCAAAGTGTTTTAAAAATGATTCTTCTTTCTTTCCGGCCTATCCTCGGCCCTTCTGTGTTTGTTACCTCTTGAATAACGAGGTCTGCTGAGCTCTGTATCCTACGGCGCTTCACTGGTGACTTCTGCTGGGAATCCACCATGGCCCTGTAGGTCATTGTTTGCAATTCATAGTCCTGCATGAAAGAGCCAATACGATACAATTAATTCAAGCAAAGCCTGAAAGCTTCATTCCATAGGACTGACCACAGAGCACTGGTAACTAGTTCACTGAAATACTTTTAAATAAAAACAGGTCAATGATGAATACTACATTTTATTGTTGTTGTTGTTGTTGTTAGAGACAAGGTTCCTCTGCGTAGCCCTGCCTGTCCTGGAACTCACTCTGTAAACCAGGCTGGTCTTGAACTCAGAGATACATGTGCCTCTGCCTCCCAAGTGCAAAGATAAAAGACGTGCACCACCACTGCCTGCCTTGAAAACTAAAATTTTAAATATTTATTTGATTCTAGAGATATTTGCAAGGCAGTGACATGAGCAGAGACATGTGCAGTGGTCAGCAAAGGTCCCAATTGTCTTTAGAACCCATGAAAAAATTCACTGCAGGATTTTTTTCCTCGATTACAGAAGGCCTCCACTTATTGAACGAGAGAGCTATGGAGCTGGGAGCCTAAGATAGTACCAGTGTTATCTTATCAAACGGTGACAGTGTCTCTTCAGTACAAGCTACATGTTCTCTAGATTTTAAATTAAAAAAAAAAAAAGGAAAGCAATAAGAAATAAGTTTCAGGGGCTGGAGAGATGGCTCAGAGGTTAAGAGCACTGACTGTTCTTCCAGAGGTCCTGAGCTCAATTCTTAGCAACCACATGGTGGCTCACAACCATCTGTATTGGGATCCAATGCTCTCTTCTGGTGTGTCTGAGGACAGCTATAGTGTACTCATATACCTAAAATAAATCTTAAAAAAAAAAGAAAAGACACAAGTTTCAGAGCTATGTTTTGGGGTGTGTGTACATTTTCATGCATTCACGGAGACAGAGAAAATGAACCAGTCATGGGGCCGTCACCTGACTCATTTCATAAACAATTACTAGGTATGTATACAAAAGATCAAATGAGGATTGTTCTCTTTTTGGATGGAATGGACTGACTCAAACTGCTTTAAAAATATGTTATAGTATTATATACCTATTTGCCTACACTATGTGATGGTTCTCACCTTGACTGCAGCCGAGTACTGCTCTGAGTATTTTTGACACTCGTCCATTTTGTTCTGTTTCACCTCTATTTCAGACACCAGCATCTGTAAACACAGAGTTTAGAGAGAAAGAGACAGGAGCTCTACAATGTTCTCTTCATGCTTAGTAATGAAGAAACATCCAGGCCACTCAATGCTGTACCGCTAACACTTCATACCTTACATGTGCCTTGCCTTATAGATAAATAACAAGCTTTCAGGATAAGATTAATATGTGATCTAACCTTGGGAGGCTTTCAAAGCAGAAACAAGAACTACGCAGAGCAGACTTGGTGTCTTTCCTCATACTCACTCCAGATGAAAACAGTTAGACATTACTGACTGCTAACGGTAAAACCTTAAAGTGTCCAACTTTCCCACCAATTTTGACTAGCTAGGGTCCTATCTATTACCTCTGACCATGTGTATTAATTTAGCAAGTATAAAACTATGCTTCCAGCATATTATCAAGAAAAATTAGGCCCAGCCTATGAAACCCAGAAGATGAAGTCTGTGGAAACTACTGTAACATACTCTTCATTATCTAACCTTTCATAAATGACTTCCAGTACATAAAAGTCAATGCAGGCAGGTTTAAGGTATAGAATTCTCATACACAGTATCACTCTCACAGTTGTCTAAGTAATTGCCTTTTCTTCCAACACAGGAGAGAAAGAGGAGGCTTGAGACCAACCAAATTCAGATAGAATCTCAGTTCAAGTACCTTCTGCTGATTCAGCTGGAGGGCCAGGGCTTTGCTGTTTTCTGGCTGATTTTCCTGAATTTTTCTCTGGGTAGTTTCAATTTGCTGGATCCAGTCATCTAGAGGGTGATAGGAATCCCTGTAGTGCTTCAGGGACTTCCCGATGCCTTCTAAGTCTCGTAGCCTACAAGAATGGCAATGGAACAGTCAGGTTCCAGCAGGAGGGGGAAGGGGCAGGGAAGAGAAAGACAAATTAAGACCCAAGCGCCACTAAGCACAACAGGGTATATACCTGGAGGCAGCCTGGAACACAATTCCTGCAGCACCTGCCCCATATGGCATACGGGTTAACAGAGATAGCCTGTTCTGGGAACTATGAAATTCTTTGGTGCTGTTTTACTATGGCACTAAGACTAAATCTGAAAACGTAGGAAATTGATCATCGTTATAAGTCAGTCAACAGATCCTGAGTAGCTGAGGCCTGCCTCAGATCATAGTTCACCTTTGGAAGAAGAAGGCATTGCAATGGATAGTTCGACATGGTCTCAGAGACTATCTTCCAGGAACTGCAATCAAATGCCCACTTCTGTGATTTTTCAATCAGCACATTAAACAAATTCATCATGTATTTTCCAAAGGAAAAGATACATATAAATACAACTTCACTTCTTGAGTGGAACTATACCATAAAAAATACTCAACATTGTAAGTTGGCATTACATTATTATCTCTTTAAAAGACAGATTATACAAGTGTCAGGATAAATCAGCAGTTTTTAATTATGCACAGTTGAAAATGTCATTTTTCTGGAAGCAGAGGCAGCTCAGCAGTTAGGAGCACTGGCTGCTCTCCCAGAGGATTTAGGTTTGGTTCCCAGCATCTATAGAGACTCACTGTTGGCTGTATCTCCAGTTCCAGGAGATCCTGCCCTCTTCCTGCCTCTTCAGGTACCAGGTATGAATGTGGGATGCAAGCATACACACATGCAGGCAAAACACCCATACATAGAAAATAAAACAAATCTTAAAAAGAGAGTGTTTCTTTAAAGTTACATGTTTTGCTAAAGAGAGTATATAAGAATGATATGGAATTAGGGAATAATCCTGCAGCTAACACATTAGCTAGAGAATGTCACTTAACACCCACTAAGTTTAGAATTCGCCCTCTGTACCCAAACGGAATCCCACCTACATGTGCACTGAACAGAAAAGGGACCCACCTATTGTCGATCTGGACATGAACACTCTGCCACCTTTCGACGAGCTGGTCTGCCTTTTCTTTGTGCCAGTCTAAGTCAAGGTCCCGTTCTTTGTGTGTCTTGAACATCTCATCACTGATGGCTTTTGCTTTCTGCAACTCGTCTTCCAAAGCATGGAACACCTCTCTCTTCTCATCTACTTCTGATCGCCATTGCTAAAATACACGAATTGATGGGCATCATGAAATAATGTATCAACACGTCATACAGAAAAGCCATCATTTACCTAAGGTTACAATTTATTCATCATTGTGTGACATATATTTAAATGTTTGGTCCCCAGTTGGTGGGACTGTTTGGGAAGGATTAGAGGGTGTGGCCTTGTTGAAGCAGACACGTCACTGGGGTTGGGCTTTGAGGTTTCAAAAGCCCATGCCAGCCAGGTCTGGTTGTTCTCTCTTTGTCGTGGGCTTGTGGATTAAATGTAAGCTCTCAGCTATGGCTCCAGTGCTATGCCTGCTTACCTGCCTGCCTGTCTGCTGCCATGCTCCTCACCGTGATGGTCATGTACTCACCCTCTGAACCTGTAAGCAAGCCCCCAACTAAAAGCTTTCTTTTATAAATTTCCTTGGTCATGATATCTTTTCATGGCCAATAGATCAATAACTTATACTGAAATGATTGAGTGTAGTTATTTAGAGGAATTTGTGGAATTAGAAGCATGAAACGGAGGGGACATGCTCAGAAACACACTCTACATCAGGGTCTTAGTGCCAGACGCTTGACGTCAAGCTCTGTGCTAGAGAATGACTCGAAGCAGGGCCTTGGAGCCATGGCTAGAAGTGAGACACTTACCTTTAAAGTACTCATTAAATTCTCAATGGTATTCTTGTCAGCTATAACTGCTTCTTCTTCACACAGTTTGGTTTCATAAAGTTTGACAAGGGCTTCTGCAGCTTGGGTGTTTTTTAAAACCAAATTAACAGTCTTCAACCTTTAAATAGAAATGAATGCTAGTCCACGCTGTTTCATGTCTTCCCCCCACACACACACTGTAGTCCTAGAGTGTCATTAAAACTCATGACATGGGACACTGACTGGCCTCCTGTACATCTGGCTGTCTGTTGATTCTTTTCCTAATAGACATCACCCCATGTCCCTACACCTAGGTGGCATTTACACAGGTTCCAGTGGGTTCTTAGGTTCCAATAGGTTATGCTGAGCACAAGAGGAACCCCCAAAACTACAAAAGGGAGCTTACAGAATAGCTATGTCTAAGGCAATCCCCCAACCCTGAAGTGGAGAAATATCATCAATCTTGCTTCTTAAGATAAACACACTGTCCACAGAAGCACTGAGAGAGGACGGGTGAGGACCGTGTGCTGACATACTTCTCTATGTAAGTGGAAGACATGGAGTAGATCTGACTCATGCTCTGAACGACCACGCTGAGCTCTGAGCGGAGAGCGGGGACAGATGGGGAGTCGGCCGCTTGGCTGAAAAACTCTTCACACTTATTTGTGATGGTTCCCAAATCCTCTTTGAGCCGTTCCAGCTCTTTCTTCAGTTTCTAGTACAGAAAACAAACGGAGGTTACCCGTAGTCACCACAATGGGTATGGTTTTTTTTACAGCAGCTGAAAAACACGTTTCATATTTTATTACCAATATAAGCAGCTGTATAACTTTTTTTTTTAACCAAATAAACAGAAGCATTGACAATCCGGCTTTATAATTAGTAATGTCTTTTACTGTTTATTCCTTTGACTAAATCTCTAACTCTGTAAACAGCAGGTATCTAATGACTCTCAGCGTGAAGCCCACCAGGATGCTTCTAGGTTTATGACCTCAGAGGCAGAGTTCAACCACGGGATCTTAGCTTACATCCAGTAACAAAAGCACAGCTGGACCTCGGTAAGGAACTGAAGTCCCAGTTGAACATGTGGGAAATCAGAAAGTGACATTCAAGGTCACTAAGGAGGGAATGACCCTGGCTTTTGCTAACACGTGTGTGACTCTTACCTCCTGTTCCGTGATTCTGAACATGCTTTCATGTAAATCATCTCTTTCCAGGGGAGTCCTGATCTGCCGAATTAACCTGTCTTCACAGCTCTCCAGGCGGAGTCGGATGTTGCGCACCTCCGAGATGTACAGATTATACACAGACTCCTCTTGCTCCTCTGTGAGAGGACACATCATGCTCAGTAAGTAACTTCCCCTCCTCAGGAAGCTCTTGTGCAAAATACCCTACATCAGCTTTACTCTCACTGAGGCAAACAAGTGGATCCTATTAGCACAAATCCTAAGGATATAACCTTCAAACAGAAAGCTTAGAATGTGAATTTTAAAACTTAAAAAGTACTAAGCAAATTTCCTCAAGGTCATTTAAAAGACCAAATTATCACTGAAATATCTAAAGGAACTAATACATTATCCTGTTTCTTAGTCACAAAAAAATGTGAATTCTATGTTATGAATTAACCATTAGATTAAACCAAAATCTAAAAGTAAAAGGCAGGTTAAAAAAAATTGTTAAAGTTTTAAAACCACAAAATATTACTAATAAAATCATTTGTTCCTAAATAGTGTGAAGAGTTAAGACAGAGATCTATATTAAATAAGACTTAACTAAATAAAGCACTTTGCTTTGATTCTTGTATAACTTAACATGGGAAAATAATCAAATCTTTCGTGAACCTCAAGGACCTTCATTCCGAGTGTGGCCTTGCAAAGCACAGCCAATGAGCCTCACGCAGAAGAGGTGAGAATCTACGTCTGTCCCATGGCGGGCATTTTTAGTTACTCCTGTTTTAGAAATGAATTGTCTTGTCTAGCATCTTCGGAGCTCAGATGTTCTGATTGTTATTGGTGGTTCTGGGATTGAACTCAGGGCTTCCCGCATGAAGTTCTGAGCTCCTGAGTTACATTCCCTGTGCACACACATTTTCATACTGTTCAGTAATCTTGCATACATGTCACAGTTGACTGACGTAATATACCTAAGACTGAGATTTCCAATGATTATATAAAAGAGTCCAGACAAGACACACACCGCCCCCCCCGAAAAGAAAACCAACAACCCCACACTTTACCTCTTTCTGCAGACTTGAGAAGCTCTTGATAATACTTCCTGCACACATTCACTTCCTTTTCTATCTGAGTTATATCTGAGACTGAAAATATTTGGGATTCCTGGCTATCCTCCAGGAAATCTTCCAGGCGGGACTGGAGATTACTGAGAACCTGCTGGTGTTCGCCAGGCAACATTGTCTTTATCTAAAGAACAGAGAGCCTTGGATTAAGGACGTAGCACCAGGAGCCACATCTAAGTGGGGCAGATCATAAATGATGTCACGGTACACTTCAGCTGGTTCATAGTTGGGAGAAACATTTGGAATTAATATTCTTTTCATTTGCTTCGGGTTTGTACCCTACAGCAAGGAAATGGAACCAACCAAGTAAGTTTTCCATCAAGTAGATGAACAGACAATGACGTTTAGTACATATGAAAAATGGAGTAAGAAAATTGTAGAAGAACAGAAGGGCTTAGAATGTATGATGCTAAGGGAGGTCACACGATCTCAGAAAGATAAGGTGTAAGTTCTCTCTTGTGTATGGACCCTAGCCAATAATATATATGTAGATAAGAAAGCATCTGTGCATTGTCTGCCTTATAGCAAAGAGAACAGGAGAGAAAGGGTGGGTACCAGGGGTAAGGAAGGGTGGAATGCAGCCAGCCAAAGGCCACTAAGTCACGAAAGTAGACAGAAAGCTAACTGTTTCTCTGGTTTCAACTCTGACATGGATTTTCAGGCTTCGGTGATGGGGAAATAAATTAAAAACCATGTTTCATGGTGAAAGTGCAAAACTGAACGTGACGCTCCACAGTTTCTGAATGGCTATCCTCACACCATACGGAAGGTCCTTGGAATGCACAAACTTCCGTTCTATTAGTTTGAGGGTTGATATTTTCCATTTGAGAGCTCTTTATAATAAAGTTTTAATTAGAAGACAAGTAAAAAAAATTATAAAATTCAGTAAATGAAATTAAAATATACCCACTGTCTGACTGAACACCTAGTCCTAGTTTCTCTCCTTCAGTAAGCACTGAGCGAGGTGTGATCTCCGGATTCCCCTCCCCTGTAGAGTGTGCCTCATCTATGCCAGGCCCTACCGAGCACTCACGCTGACAATGTGGATGTACTGGCCTTCCCCCTATTCCAAAGCAAGTGTTAGCTTCACCCCATATATGACAAGGCATGTGGGGACACATTGGGTTGACCTGCACATTCATACTCACTGAAGCCACGTTACTAGCTCGAATTCTGTCGATTTCATTGACTAGATAATGCCAGGAGACTACACTCTTCATGTTTATGTGAGATTCATGCCAAAGAGTGAGGACGCTCTGATACTGTTGCTCAATTCTGAAATACATACAGGAGAATACAGATTTTAGGCTTTTTTACTCTTTTCTGAAAAGAGGCTACAATATTTATTTCTATGCCTCCTATGTAGTAGCTCCAGAACCTTCCAGTCCTATGGGTCCCTGACACAGTATTGATAGCTTCTTGAATCTTCAGAAAGGTCCCAAGCCATACAAACCTGTTGGCAAAGTCAACTGCTTCTTTGTTTGGTGGGGGAACAGTAAAACACACAGATGGGACCATGGCCTCATTCCCAGTAGGACTGATGACCTTCCATTTAGCACGATGAGAGTTGTTTGCCAAAACACATTCATCGTCTTTGTAAATGGTTATCTGGTTTTAAATGAAAGAGAGGAAAGCTGAGGTCAACATTAATTCATCTTTCTCCATACTCGATCTTAGAAATTATTATATATATTTTTTATGAGGCAGAGAAATGCCTTCTCACTAGGAAACATTATGACATCATTTAATAAATATCCAGTCTGCTTTGAGAATTACAAGTACCTCAATTTGTCTGTAGTCACAGATGGCTTTGATCGGGATGGATGTTTTGAGTGGATTGTCAGGATTCCTTGGCTTCAGCTGCACGACCGTCTTTGCCCGTCCCATCAGACCTGCCACCACGCTCCGGTACTGCAGGAGCTCCTCCTTTTCCTCCTAGTCAGCAAACACAGCAGGATTTTAATATTAGTGATTCAAACTCTCCATCCCATACAGACTCACACAAACCATTGTCATAGAAAGCCCTGACTACTGGGGACATCTTCTACATCTCACACCCCTCTTGAAGCCTTCTTCCTTCATTTTGTCTGGTTATTTTGTTTCCTCTTTGCCATTACTACTATGTAACAATCTATGGTTATTTTGTTTCCTCTTTGGGGCTACTACTATGTAACAGTCTATGGTTATTTTGTTTCCTCTTTGCCGTTACTACTATGTAACAGTCTATAGGCATTTTGTTTATTTAATGAACGACTGTGGAGCTACCCTTTAATATCTAGGCACCACAAGGGAGGGTAGTTGATTCCTGCCTGCTTTGTCCATTGTTATATCTCCAGAAATGAAAACTGACCACACAAAGCACTGCTGAAGCAGTTTAAACAACATCACCAAAGACTACCCAAACTAAAGTTTCCATTGAATGAGACAGCTGTGTGTCCGAAGTACAAATCTGTATGCAACATATAACATAGAAACATAGAAGAAAACACTAATCTACCCTGTTGTATGTCTGACAAAACCCACAGTTTCTGCATCCGTACCATGGACTCCTGGACGAGGTCTTCCAGTTTGTGAATGCTGCTCGATCTGTCACAGCTGTACTTGCGCTGAATGGCATCTTTCAGATTCCTTAGGTAATCAGTAGCTTCTTTGGCATCATTGAAAAACTAAAGAGAGGTAAAACTTGTCAGCTGAAGTACACTAAACGCCAGTAAAACGCAGAGTTGTTAAATCTGGTGCCCAGGCCCTCTGTGCACCCCTGACAAGCCAGGGCAGAATCAAAGCACAAAGCAACAATAGCAACATCCTTTCTGAAGCCGAAACTAACCTTTGAACTTGTGTGGCTACAGATGAATATTAATCATGTGAAGTGTACATGCGTATTATGCATTGTGTTTTGGCTCTATATTATTTTGATCAAAAGCCTGTTTTTCTTTAGGGTTCAGTCAATCTTTTAAGTAGGGGTGGAATTTCAAATAATATATTGACATTTCTAAAGAAAAAAAGAAGTCTATTTGGTTGACTCTTATAAGAAATATTTTTCCTTAATATTGGACAAATGTTTGGAATGACTTTTTACAGTATTCATGTGTGTGTAAATCAGAGGTCAACAACTGTATGTGTCTGCATTTCTCTCCACCCTACTTTTTTGAGAGTCTCTCATTGAACCTAGATAATAATTTATTATTATTAAATAAAAATCATTTTATTATATTTATTATTATATCTATATAATATATTTGTATTATATTAATCATATTATATATCATAATATATATTTATATTGCAAATGTATAAAATATATCATATTGACTAATTATACTAATAAGAATTTTTAAACTAATTATAAATAATTATTAATAAATTTCTCATTATTTGGATAGGCCGGCTGGCCAGAAAGCCTCAGGATCCTCTGGCTTAGACAGCACTGGGCAGCTCACTTTATCTTTTCATAAGTCTAGTTTCTGGGATTGAACTCAGTGCAAGCAATTTGCCAACTAAGCCATCTTCCAGCCACAGGATTTCTTCCTTAATGGCTGAACTTTTCCCCCCTCTAAGAAAGCAGCACTTGCCATCCTGCACAGAAAGTACTGGCTTATTTCCCCGTGTGCTGTGCACATGTTTCTTTGTGGTATTTCTGTACCTCGGCCCAAACAGCAGTGTTGTCTGTTCAAGCTGCGATTCTACTCACGTACCTCAAAATACGCAGTGTTCTCCTGAATGTGCTGCTCCACACACTGGCACAGCTGGAGGATCCAGCTCCACTGCGTCTGCATGGCCGCTTTGTATGCCTTAGGGAGAAAACACACTGAAAGCTGGGGCAGAGAGAAAGGTACAGGGGGCTTACCTCCCTCAAACACGGGTCATGCATGGGTAACATGCACAGTTTGCCTCCGCATGGCAAATACTCATACATTTATATTTTTATACTGCTTCTCTCCCCCCTCCTCAGACAGATTGTCCCTCACTATACAGCCCAAGCTTGTGGTAATCCTTCTGCCTCAGCCCCTCATTATAGGCTGGAATCGCAGGTGTGAACCATCATGTCCAGCTCAATGTTGATGGTTTCAAATGACAAGACACTCTACTATCCAAATAGATACAGAAAACATTTTAATGGACTGAACTATGAAAACTGGGGTAGTTAATTTTATCTTGAGAGGTCCTCCTTATACCATGGGTCTTAAAGTCTGTATATAATTTTAAAATTAGTCCAAATGGTTTTATTCAAATTTCTAACTTCTTAATTTAATTCTTAAAATCTGAGGAAAAATTATAGTTATTTTATATGAAAATTTTACACTTGAATGCAAGCTACTCCTGCTATTTATAAAATCTACCCTTTTCCTTACTCCTCGGCTACTAACTCTGACACCTGACTTTTAAAATCCCAAATATGTTTTTCTCTATGGTATCCCAATCTCCACCATTTCTGTGTTTTTATATTACTGAGCCATATAATGAATGTGTGTGTTATCACAGATCTGTAGTTTTCTTCTGAGGAAGATTTAGGGAGAGTAGAAAAAGCAGCATATACTTTTCTATCAATGTAATTATTACATTTAGTTGTATAATAATATTTAAAACAGTCATCTATTTGAATGCTTATTATTTAATACAGAGAATATCTTTCATAAAGGAAAAATACTGTAGAAAGCACATCTAGTTCATCTACTGTAGAAAACCGTCTAGTTCATCATGAATTCTGAAACCTTTTTTTGTAGAAGGTGCAATTCCCTGTCTCCCAGGAGGGGGCGCTCAGTGTGCAGTAAGGATGTATAAAGTCTGATTTTTGCTTCCTCCTGGAATGACCCACTGTCTGGCATTCATTCAGGCATGTGTTCCTGCACATGTGCACTTAGTTGCCCCTGGGGATCTAGCAATATATGATATTATTGCTCCCTCAAACTAAGCTACGTTTTTGCTTGTCACACACTGTAAGCGCACGTTCTACCACAGAACACTCCTCCACTCCATCAGATGAATTAACCCACAAGGAGTTTCATGGGGCCTAAAAAATAACCTGCTGCCTTTATCCTAAGAGATGGTGACGAGGAAATCAGCATGACTCATTGGGAAAGTTTTTTCAGCCAGACTGTAGTCAACACTCAGTAGTTTGATTTTTTTTTTTTTTAAACTAGCGGAAGAGGTTTAAGGTTATGGATGCATGAGAAACCAGCCCACGCTTCGAACTTTCTTACCTCGATGGTCAAGCGGGCTGGGTGGTTTTCTAGAAGCAGCTGCTCTGCGATCTCCTGAACAGCTTTAATGCTTTCCTCCTTCTGCTCCAGCTCCCGCATCAGTTCCTAGCGAGGAAACATCAAGAAGCGAATCAGAAACGCTGCAAGCTCTTCCGGTCCAGCGCTGGCACGGGAGCATGCGCGCCCGACTCACTGCGTGGTAGCCTTTCTTCCGGGCGATGTTGCTGTTCCTCTCACTCCAGTCGTAAGCAACCTCCGACTCTTCTTTTTCATTCAACCAGATAAGTTCGTTTGTTGCCCGGGTTACAAAGTTGTGGAGCGTATCGAGATGCCGCTCCTGGTTTCTGGATGTGTTCTTTTTAAGGAAAACCATTGTAAGAATCAGATCGTTTGCAAACAGACATAATGAAAACAGAATGTTTAAAGCAAACAAATTACAAAGAAAAAAAAATACTTACCAGGAGTTTAGCATACTGACTCTCTAATCTGTGCAACTTATCCATGTAAGAGAGCTTCAGAGGTGCTGTCATCTGAATCTACAATATGGGGGCAAAGGTATGGGGGGTGGTTAGGGATCTTAAGTACTAATACTAAATACTGAGTTATAGGATCTTTATGTAAAAAAGAAAATAATATCCAAATACAGTAAGATATTAAAAAACACAAAATTCACATACCTCACTAATTTTAGCTTCCTTAAGGCTAGATTCAAATTCTTCAATGGCTCGGTGAACATTTTTATGGTTTTCTAAATGACTTTCAACACTTGGCAAATCTGAGCCCCATTCAGTGCGGTCCAGCTGCACCTGAAATAGTAAAATAACGGTTTATAAAAGAAGAGGAGGAGGAAGAGAAGGAGGAGAAGGAGGAAGAGGAATCAGAGGAGGTTGTTTTCAAGAGTAAATCTGGAAAACTGAGAATAATAACATTACCTGCATCTCGTCAACCCAGTTCAAGAGATCTTGAACAAATTTCATATTGACTTCCTCTTCTGTCAAGTTCTGATCCAGCAAAGATGACTTGAGAAGGGGCTTTCGGATCTGCATTAGCTTCAAAGTCTGTAATGAATTTGGCTCTACCCCCAAACTGAAGTTTGGAGCTACCACTGATGGGAACCCAGGTGTATACACTGGAGTAACCGACGGTGTCAGGCGGGATGTCATCCCGGACGACAAGCCCGAGGTCACGCTAGAAGACGTCAAGGAAGGGGTTAAACTCTGCGTTAGCCCCGAGTTCAGACTAGGGTGTAAGGTCTGTGCAAATCCTGAGTTTAAGCTTTGAGTGATTCCTGATATCATGAGCTTGGTCTGCTCCGTGGTCAGCATGCGTCCTTGGCTGTACACCGAGGAACACTCGTTCCTTAAGGCCACAATGTCATCTCGCAGCTTTGCAACCCTGCGAAGAGCACAGAGGCGTTTGAGGCGGGACAGAAAAGGCTAACTCAAACTGCTGGTTCTAGCCGGTGTATCCATACTGGCTCTGCAATGGTCTCTGCCAGTCAAGTACCCCGACTCCAAGATACTGACGGTAGTGCAGGCCCAAGAAGGCACACAGAAGCTGTGCTTCCAACCCTTGTTCTGCAAAGCTATTCCATGTTACCAGTCTTTATAACTGTCATTTATAAGGAATATAATTACATACCATAAGGCCGTGGTTTACATTACTTGATATTTAGAATAAATAAATCTTATAAACTATGTCTGGCATGAACATATAGTTTTCTAATTGGATCTATTTATTATTACATAGAGAATAACTAGTGGCTCCTAGAAGAGAAATTATTGGCTCAAACGTGATTTACAGTGTCTACTTTCAGACGCACACAGAGACAGAGACAGACTATGGCTTCCCAGGTTCTCTCCTCTCTGCTCCCATAACCTTCTCAGAGAGATTTTGGATTTGCTGTTTATTTTTTGACGGTCATTTTCCTCCTGAGGTACAGTTTTGCTATGTAGCTCCTACAAGCCCTTGTATCTGTGATTCTTTCCCCTAAGCCTTCCTAGAACTGAGACTCCATGTGGGTGCCACCCTACACAGCTTTACCTACACACATGTGAGAACTTTTCTTACACTTTCCCCTTTTCTAATGTTGTAAATCATCATCATCATCATCATCAACACCATCATCATCACCATCTGGAGTCTGAGGACTAAACCTAGGGCCTTAACTTTGCTTACTTAAAATATTCACTCTGCCTCTGGGTCACATCAAAAAACCCACATAAATATCCTAAATACTTGGAAATAAATATAGGCATTTAAAATATTCATTTTAATGACTCCAGTATTTCTGTGACAGTAAATGTTAACAAGACTGAGGGAATAGCCAACCAATACCCAGCCCAACTTGAGATCCATCCCACAGGGAAGAACCAATCCCTGACACTATTAATGATACACTATTATGCTTGCAGACAGGAGCCTAGCATGGCTGTCCTCTGGGAGACTCCACCCAGCAGCTGACTCAGACAGATGCAGAGACCCACAGCCAAACAGTGGATGGAGTTTGGGGACTCTTATGGAAGAACAGGAGGGAGGATTCCGGCCTCAAAGGAGGAATAGGAACTTCACAGGATGACGAACAGAGTCAACTAACCTGGACCCTTGGGCTCTCAGAGTCTGAACCACCAACCAAAGAACATACACGGGCTGGACCTAGGCCTCCCTGTACATATGTAGCAGATACGAAGATTGACCTCCATGTGGGTCCCAAACAACTGGAGCAGGGACTGTCCCAAAAGCTGTTGCCCGTCTGTGGCTACCTTGTCTGACCTCAGTAGGAGAGGAAGGGCCTAGCCTTGCACGCAGACTTGAAGTGCTAGGGTTGGGGGGATACCTAGGAGGGGCCTTACCCAGAGGAAAAGCGGGGGGGATGGGGAAAGGATTTTGGGAGTGGGTGTCAGGGAGGGACTCAAGGAGCAGGATGTAAAGTGAGTAAGTTAAAACAAAATTAGATTTTAAGAAGTTAATTATAAACGTTGGTTCTACTTGTCCTCATCAAAATATCACAATCCACAGACTGTACGTTGTATATTCCCATCATGCTCTGACTTTAATACTGAAGAGAAATAAGGACGGCTCCTACCTCTGCACCAGCTGATCAGCCTGGTAGTATTTCCCGTCTATCAGAATCTGTACGTCAATCACGTGCTGGCGTAAAAGGTTCTCACATTCAAGTATGTACCCGGCAATCTCTGCTTCATTCTGAAACTGCACACCTGATTCTAATCTTTTGGAATCCTGCATTTAAAAGAACTCAGCATTAATTCTGTAAAACAGAGGTCAAAGCCAGCTTCAAACATCAAACTTCAAAATACTAGAAGAGACGCCTATTTGGGCTTTATTTCTTTTGGTTCAGACGCATGTTTGCTGTCCACTCAAGAAAGGAAATATCAATCATAATCCCTCAAAGCTTCTGCAGGGAACAGGTACTAGTAGTCAGCCAATCAACTGATACGGAAGGTTCCAGTTTACCTGAGCATACCCAGCCCCTCTACAGCAAGCCCTGAAATCGACTTACAGACTGGAGAGCATTTCGGGCGAGGATGAGTTTATCTTCGCAGCTGACACTATCCCTCTGAACTCGGGTAGCAATTTGCTGCAGCATATCCAACCTAAAAGAGACAAAAGGGAAAACAAATCTTCTTTTTGAAGTCAAAGAGAGCTCACCAGTCCTGAAAAAATGACCCTGGCAAGGAAGGAAAGACAGCTTCACACCGAAGACTGCATACCTGTGTCCATCCAAGGACTCATTGCTGAAGCTAATGCAGGAGTTGATCAGTGTGGGACCACAATGAACGGACAGGAGATTCTCGTTGGAATCTAGACTAGTCCGAGTGCTGGTAGTGTTACTAAATACAGAGTCACTGCTACGGTAACTGTAGCTACTGCTCTGCATTTTCGGTCCTGAAATGGTATCCTAGGACCATGAAAGTAGGACTTCTACCAGGAGAAAGCTCACCGACTACCAGGTGAAAAGGCGGTCTAGGCAGAGGGATGGGGCTTTAACGGATCCTTAAATATGCTTCAGCACGCATATGCAATACACTGCAAATACTATGCTGATAAGTATTCAAAAGAATCCTGCCTAAAGCCATTCATTTGCTTGCTGAGGTCTGCCTTTTGTAGCCGGCATTAAAGCCCTGCAAGTACAGACAGAGCAGGATGATTGGGCATCACTGGAAAAGATATGCCAAATATTTTCACTAAGAGTCATCCAGCTGCAACCACCTAAAAAACAACTCAGGTACCCAGGAGGCCAGGTATCACCAGTGAAGGTAATTCTACCAATAACAAGCACTGACTAGAAACACAAAGCTCAGATCACACAGCTGGACAGACGCTGGAGAGCAAGCAGATGCCATGTGCTTCATAACGCAAGGTAAAATGCTGGACCAATCAATAAGTCAATAATCAATAAACTAGCACACGAATTTAATGAGAAACCAAATCTGTTTCCATTTGACCATCTTTTCATTTGTTCGCCGCATTAAATTAACTGGAAAATCATTCAATTACTTTTCTTTGTGTGATGGACTCCCTGTCTCTCTCAGTAAGCCACTACCGCTCCAATTCTAAAAGCCAAAGCCTCCACACTGAATACTGGCTCAGTAGCTAACTGCAAATGTGTCTGGGCTTGCTTCTCCTTCACACAGACTAGTACAGAACCCGAGAACATCAATTCTTTCCTGTTTGTCTTCTACACGCTCCAAGCCACATAGCTATAACTTGCAATAATTGGTCTGTGCCAAGAAAAAACAAAAACAAAACAAAACCTTGTGTCAAGAAAAATGAAGGCTTTTACCCAAATACTTCCCTACCTCCAACGCTACAAAACCAAACTGACATTTCTGAGCTCTGAGTTAAACATTTTAATTTTCAAAGGGCATTTACCAAGTAAAATAGAACAATTAAAACCTAGAACTGCTGCGCCTTACACTTATTACACAGTTGCTGTGTACCAGGAAAAGAAACATTTCATACACAAAACCTCATCTCCTATTCATAACCACCAAACGTGGTAGGTATTGTTACATCCTATTACAGATGAAGAAACTGAGGCCTAGACACATAAGAACTTGTCTATGATCACATGACTTCCAAGCTGAAGTAATAAACCTAATCCAGAACAGACTGGCTCCCAATCTTGAAGTCTCAACTGCTTTCTTTCGTTAGCTCGATGTTTGAACGTTATCTCAAAAGTGACATGTGCTGGGAACACAATCCCCAGTGCAGCACGTCCAACCGTGAAATGCTGAAGAGAGATGACATCACCAAGGCTCAACCCTCATGAATAAATGAGTGTCATTATCAAAGGGGCGGCCATTTGGCTCTCCTGCTTCAGTGAGCATCTGTTGCCTCCTGTGCCTAATTCTTCACCGGCCACTCCACTCCAGTCTCCCCTCTCCTTTCTGCCCTCCACCAGGGGAAGGTGCAGCACAAAGGTCCTCAAAGATGCCAGCCCCAGACTACATCCCTAGATCTCTGCAACTCCGAGTCACCAACTTCTTCCCTTTTTCTTTTTTTAAAGTACAAGACAGTCTTTTCTACAGTCCAGGCTGACCTGCAACTTTCCCTGCTCCTGTGTTAGCTTCCCAAGTGCTGGGCTTACAGTAGACTTATACATAACACAAGCCTAGATAAGAAACTTCTTCTGTGCTATGTATGCAGTCTGGAGCAATATGAAGTGGATTAAGACGCACATTAAAATTCAGCTACTGCTATAGTGACCAAAATATCATTTCTTGGTATCTTTAATTCAAACGATTCATTTAACTCTTCATTTTAACTATCTGTAAGAGCTTCAGTCTAAGCATTTACAATTCATTTTCATTCATAGGCTGTTTATATAGACGTGGTAACTTTATTATTTAACAAGGATGAGGCTAGTAATAAAGGCCGGATTTGCCTTTGCGTTGATCTATAATATATCAATTATTTTTGATACGTTATTCTATGTCAACACTGAAGTAGGTGTCTGAGACAGTGAGGACACAGCTACACTGGGTGTCTCTGTTATGTGCCTGGAATTGAGCACTGGTAAGGGACCCACAGTGGTGGCTTGAATGAAACATGAATAAATAGGAAATTACAACCAAGGTAAGCACACTGAGCAACACTCAAATAACTCATCATTAGAAAAATAAAGACATGTGACCTAGCTTGAGGTACTACAGGAAGGAACATGGGGGCTGACGTCTAGGAAGGACTAGGAGTGAAGAGAAGCAGGGAGTGAGACAGACTCCCTGCCAAAGGAGCAGACCACGCAACCCCTTTGAAGAGGGGAGGGTGCAACCCAGCACAGGAGCGCTCCTCAGAGACAGCAGAGTGGCAGCTCTGCAGCCAGAGCTGCCTGATCACACATGCCTCTAGCTGTGAGGAGGGACACGGAGGACAAGTCTCATGCACTGCAGCGGGGCGATAGGATTATTGCCTCAAGGGAATAAACAGATGAGTCATGGCTGGGCAAGCGGCTTTGTGTAGTGAATTTGCCTAGAAGTTCTAGAAGCCACACACTTGGCTGAGGGGGTGGGTAGTTCCTGAAGACTATTGTATACCTTCCCTGAGCGGTGAGGTACAGTTAGAGCACAGGCTGGCCTCTGCCTCACTCATTCTTCCAACTCTTCTGTCTCTGCTTCTCAAATGCTACAACTACAGGCATATGCCGCACACCCACTTTTACGTGGGACGTGGTGGGATGGAACCCATGGTTTTGTGGACGCTAGACAAGTACTCTCTAACTGAACACACCCCAGCCTTTAGTGCTTTTTAAAGAGAAGGCCTTCCACTGCTCCAAGGTCATATAAAAAACTTCAACAAGAAACATAATAGCTAATCCCTAACCTCCTAGCTTCCAAACTTGGTCCCTGATAATTTAAGGTCCTTTTGAGAAAGACTTCTGGGTGTTTTTTGTTTGTTTGTTTGTTTTAAACTACATTATCCCGTTAGATGAGACTCCACATAGCAATCCAACCTACTAAGTCCTTCACATAGTCACTAATTTACTCTTGAACTGTTCTTGTTAGCATTTCTAGATAAAGAAATGGAAGGGGGAAAAAATCTAGGAGACTTATTCAAGGCCATACCGACGAGTCAATGTAAAAGTAATTTGTGTGAGCCTTGAGTCCCCGTGAGAGACCATGTCTCATGCAACACGAAGACAGCTCCTGAGGAAAGACCAAGTTTGAACTCTGCCCTCCACAGGCACATATACATAAGAGCCCAGGCAGACATGACACACACACAGAGTAAAAAACAAGTCAACCAACCAACAAAACAAAAACCATGTTCTCAGAGCACGAGCGTTGAGCCTGTCGTGCAGCGGGCACGGCACTAGGACGGCATCCCTACCTCTCCACCTCAGGACGCAGCGCCTTCTCCCTCTCGAGCATGGCGATGATGAGTTTGCCCCACTCCTTTTCGATGTCGTTCGGATGATAACCTTGAAGGAGTTTGATGCGCCCAAACTCGATCCAAATCTTAAGGGAACAAGAGAACTAAGGTCGTGCAAAGAACCGGAGACGACTCAAGCGTGCTTCGAAGGACCAAAGAATATTTGGCTCACCTCTAATAATTTATACAGTCGTTTAATTTTTGATTTCTCGGTCTCCTTTGGTGGGATTTCTTTCTCTTTGAACTGTAAATACTGATTATAAAGTGCCTACAATGAAAAGGGAAATGAATTACGTATGGTCCGAGTTCACAGCCTGATTGCATCGTATCATTGGTGGAATCAGTGCTCCAAGTGTGTGTGTGTGTGTGTGCTCTTGTGTGCTGGGTTGTACAAGGATAGATAAGGATTTAATTGTTGATCTGAGCCACGATTCAATATGCGCTACACAGGAATCTCAACAGTAAACAATGGCTCTGCTAAAACACCCTGCACCCAAACATATCCTCGAGAGTCTCGGCTTTCACCGGGCGGTGGTGGCGCACGCCTTTAATCCCAGCACTTGGGAGGCAGAGGCAGGCGGATTTCTGAGTTTGAGGCTAGCCTGGTCTACAGAGTGAGTTCCAGGACAGCCAGGGCTACACAGAGAAACCTGTCTCGAAAAATAAAACAAAACAAAAAAAACAAAAAAGAAGAAAAAAAAAAAAGAGAGAGTTTCGGCTTTCCACACCTCACATACTGGCTTTTAGTTTCCAGAAAACAGTTTGGTGCAATTCCTTGGCTCTATCCTGGAATCCGTAGCAGCTACATAGGGCTAACCTGTGGCCTCGACGTACCACTGCCGGTTTTGACAGTTTTCTGTTTTGGGGGTGGTTTCCTAACAACGGAAGGTGGAAGTTACTAGCTGATGTTACTGCTATAAACGCTCCAGTCATGTAATTATCATGCCACCGGCAAACCTCGTAAAGTGTTATTATTATATTCACTTAGGAAAAACCTTTCTAAAATTGCATAAATAAAACACTTTCACCTTTAATAAGTACGTATTAATTAGTTAAGCATAATTTACGCTAACTTTAAAACACACAACACACTTCTGTAAGGGTCTAAAAAGGTTTGTGGGTTTGCCAATTCCTCAGGATATGTTTTCTTTCCCATACTACACACTAGCAAGTAACCTGTGTGAACGATCACACTGTAAAGATCTGCAGAAGTCAGAGACCAACACAGATCTGCCCGATGGTCAACAAGCAAGCAAATGAAAAACCCCAGGAATGCATTTGGAAATAACTATTTGTACATGAAATCCAAAAACTATATTGAATCAAATCTTGTAGGCTGCTATCAGTCATTAATCACCAAATAGTATTATGTGCAAAATGCTGTTTGTGGCACTAAGCTTTAGTATTAGGGTAGGTTTTCAAGCCCTTCTAGAATAGTTCATATCGACAATGAAAAGACCCTACAAAAAAGGTCTTTTTTTTTTTTTAAATTATTCAACGAATACCAAGTAACTCTGTGCCAAGGACCAATCCCCTATGGCAATGAGAAGAGCCACACCACAGATGTTCTGAACAGATGTGAGCACAACAAAGAGCCTTCATGGGGCCTGTGCTGTGTCATTACAGTTTCTGTGATTCCAGTCAGAGTTAAAACAAAGCTTACTAAGTCAAAGAATTAAGGCTACTCTGTAGTCATATTAGTGGTTTGTGAAAAAATAGACTTCTTTTGCTAGTTTAAATACAAACGTATAAGATGACATAGTTTAGTCTTTGATAAACTACATATTTATAATTCTTTTATATTGTTGTGATATCTCTTTCTCAATAATCATATCTAAGACCACGTAATTACCAAAGGTTTTCCAAATCCTGGCCACTAATATCAGCTATGATCATCAATGGTAAATTCACTTGCACTCTAAATGGATCTGTATTTAAGATTCATATCATGCAGGATGTGCCTGTATTCTACAAAAGAAGCCCTCGGGCAGCTTCTAACCTGATTCAAGCAGAGAGGCATGGCTCTGACCTCTGTGAGCTTCCTGGGACTATCCTGTTCCAGCATCCAGTAGGCTTTTAGCATTTCTCACTTACGTACAATCTGATAATGTTAGTTTCAGAAATGCTTAAATCATACCTTCAATTATGAACAAATTAAAGCTTGGAGAATAAGTTCTTAAAGATGTTGCTGCTATAATTGTTTAATTATTAATATTTATCTTGACTTTTTTTATTACCTAAGAAGATGGGTAATAAATTTGCCTAGTAAAAATGTATAACTTGCCAATGGCAACTTTGTCTGTGATATACCAACCTTTAGTTCTAGAGGGTTGTTAGGAAATGTTCTCTCGGACATTGTGACCACGTGGTGTCTAATCCACTGGATGAGGTAGTTCACCATATTCTGGTATTCAATCCATTTGACTTCAACATCCTAGATGACAAAATGACAGGAAAGGATTGTATCTACAGATAATAACACTCTTCTGCAACACAACTTATCAGACATGTTTCTACGAGGCCAGGTGTCTTGAAGCTTGACAGGGAAAACCAGGTAAATGGTTTCTTAGTTTCCACCCAGCTACAATACTTTCTACACAAATAAAATTTAAAACACACTATCGACATTTGGCCACTAAACTAACCCAGTCCCAGTGAGTACCAATTTTGGTCTGAAGATAGTGGCTGTCTGGGTCACTGCATTAAAGAAGTTTCTGGCGCTTAAAAAAAAAAAAAAAAAAAAAAAAAGGCTGTGATCTGAGAGGTTTCCAGAGCTCAACTTAAGGGGAACAATGACTTACAGAAGCCAACCACTGAGCATATAAGTCCCCGCAGTCTTTGACACTCAACACAGTTACAGATGTAGGAACCAGACAAGAAATGGTGGAATTTTCCAGTACTCATTAAACACACTCTTTTAACAGGGAGTTAACACTTATGAAATTACATTTCCGAAGGATTCTTCCAAATGGCACAACTACACTCACTGTTATGTGATAAAAAGCAAAACTTTTAAGGCATAATATCTTTAATCAGGAGCTATTGTCTGACTAGGGAGAAGAGAGCCTCATTGTAAGAGACCTGGGGAGCAGAATCTACACAAGTGTTCGAATGGCAGAAACAGGCAGCATATGCTAAAAAACGGAGGGAAGAATCAGGATACACATGTGCCTTGCAACGGTCGCCAGAGGCTTTTCGGGGAAGCTGGACCCAGAGCTCTACCATAACAAGCAGTGTGTAATCATACGGCTGAAGCAGGCTGTAGGAAGAGTGTAGAGAGGTATGAGTCCCAAAGAAGGGATGGCACTCATACAGAAATGCTCTGCTTATAAGTGATTGGTCGATACTACAGAGCAATAGTCGGGATTATCAATAATGATAATCAAGACGCGGTCATGACTCCTGAAACACGTGCCTGGATTTTACCACGTAGCCTGTGAACGGTAACACTAATGACGGAATATATAATGATTAATTTGGCATGTGCAAAGGGAAAGGGAAAAGGGAAACGAGAAAGAGATGGAAAAGCGAAGAGAGAAGAGGTGAGGCTAAGCAAGAAGAGAAAGGAGCAGGGCTGTAGGAGAAGGGAGACAGGAACACGCTGCATAGATCTAAAAGGTTACGATCTTCATAGGAAAGGCAAGGGGAAGAAAAGAAACATAAGTGTAGAAATAATGCCACAGAGCGGAGACAGAAGCCACCAGAAAAGCAAGCATGAGGAGGCTTCTAAGCAATGCGTGCGTATCTATAAATCTTCATCTCTCTCATCCGTGAGAAGGAAGGGAGGAGCCTGAGGTAGAGGGGCATGGTCCTCACGTGAACACGGACGGCTTCCTGTTCACTTCTAGAAACAGTGTTTGTTTAGCGTGGTCGTGTCAAAGTGCACAGCTCGGTTAAACTCCACAAGCCTGTGAGAAATGTTACCTAGTGAGCTCCCAGAGCTGTGTGTCAGGGACCTAGCTCTGGTCACCGGCCAGATGCAGAAACCTGCATCTAAGCTTCATCTGTAAGTCAAAAAACAGCTATCAATTAATTTCCCGGGGTCTTCTGAGTCAACTCTAAATTGTGCTCCAGAGTGAGATAGCCTAGCTATGCAGGATAGGAGAACCAGCAGTTGCAAAGAGGCAGCAAGTTAAAGGGATCCTACACTTCAGTGACCTGTAACTGTTGTTCAGAGATGTGCCGCAACTCTCTAGCCGTTTCCTTTATTTGAGACCCAACGACTGTTTTTTAGTTACACTTTAATTTCAATGGTATAACAACACCGTGAGACACGCGTGCGATCAGGATACCATATTAACCCGAATAATTAAATGGCATTTAAGATCTCTTTTTAAAAAATCCTGAACTATAGTTACCAAGAAATTCGATTAACTGGCCATCAATGATCGAAAAGCTTTAAGTGCAAAAAAGCCAACACTCACGTTTGCACCAATGCCTTCGCCACCTTCAGGGACTTTGGGAAATGCATCATAGAGAGAGGACACATAGGTTATCACTGACTTCTCGTCCGGGGAGGAGACATCAACATCTACAAGCGGCAAGAGAAACGGGTTATTTCATGATGCCGAGGCGTCTTCTGATGAGAAGCTTGTGCCCGAGCAGGTAAGTCAGAAAGACAACTCACCTTCAGGGTCCAGAAGTCTGATAACACCGATTTTTTCAGCTACATAAAAAGCGTGCTCTAAGTTTGCAAGGTTGCTTTGAACAGCAACAGTATTCATGTCTATCAGGTCCGGCCTAGGAGAAAGTGCACCGTGTTAAGTTTTGTACGTGCCAATTCAACCTGACATCTGCCTGTGTGAGCTACCTAAGTTATGATAGCATCTGCAAGTGCTAGTACCACACCCAACCGAGGCTTCCTTTAAGCCAGTGGTTCCCAGTCTCTCGAATGCTTGTGGCCCTTGAATGCAATCCCTCATATTGGAGTGATTCCCCAATCATAAAATTATTTTCATTGCTTCTTCATGACTGTAATTCTGCTACTGTTATGAACTGTAATGCAAGTATCTGCTATGCAGGATATCTGAAGTGTAGACTGTCTGTTTGTGGCCTATGGGTTGAGTGTAGACTGTCTGTTTGTGGCCTATGGGTTGAGAACTACTGTTTTAAACTCTTAGGATTGCAGCACCCACCCCTTCCCTGGTCTCTGTGGCATGCACCTCTTCCTCAGTCTCTGCAGTACCTCGTTCTCCATTCTTTCCTGCACCACCCACTAAAATCTCCTTAGACCTTCCCTGTCACTTTCTAGAGGAAACCTCTCTGTCATCCCACAGGCTCTCAGGTTTGCTCAACATTACCCCCCACACAAAGAGCGGGCCTTCTATGTGCTGTGGGCTGTGTGGGAGGAATGAGCCATAAATTACTCGGAACACTGTTTAGCGGTCGTCTGAACAAGAAAGTCCATTAAAGTACATCATCGACCTTGGGAAGAAAAGTAAACACAACTGTGTACTTTTATTTGCTTGCTTGCTTGTTTTTTGTTTGTTTCTTTGTTTGTTATTAATCTAAAGAAAAGGCAGTAGCCTGGCCCCCCTCCAAGTCTACATGTACTTTTATTAGGTCTGAGAAGGAAGTGCTCATGAATCTGAAATGTATCTCCACTTCCTCTTTGTTCACAGGCCAGAAAATCATCGCAAATACCTCACTGGCCTCCACACCCACCAGTGTGATTAACATTTACCAATAACAGCAGGAGAAGTAAGGGGCAGCTCTCTACAAACACACACACACACACACACACACACACACACACACACACACACACATTTAAATCACAGACTCAGACATCTACTGATGTGAAGAACGCTATACTAAAGAGATATTTACAAAAGTCTAGACCAAGTGTCTAAAGTTCTTCCAATAAAAAACTGTTCAAATTTCCTGAAGAAATAAGAACCAGACCTTCTGCGACTGCCAACCTCTGGGCAAGAAACAGCACGCTAGTGTGAGAACCCTGCCATTAGTAAGGAGCATAAACACTGAGTAATCCCAAGGAGAATGAATAAAGTCATTGAAGAATGAAGTTTTTTTGAACAAGAGAATAAAACACAAAACTTCTTTCAGGATGATGTCATTTCAGAAGAGAAACAGCTGCGCAACACAGGGAGTCTGAATGAGCCCCCTCTTCTTGAATTTAACACATTACCAGAACAGTAACTGGAGTGGATGTCTCCTAGCCAAAGTTTGTAACAGATAAGACAAATTAGTTAAGAAAAAAATTATAAAGGGGGAAAATCAAAAGGTACTGGGAAAAACAAAGACTGTAAAGGAGTCTTTCTTATATTGCTGCCTCGCTTGGCTGACCCCTTCTCCTCTATCAGTGGCCTTCCAGTGCTCTGCCTGGAACACCCAGGGGCTTGTGCTCTGCCTAGAGCACCCAGGGGCTTGTGCTCTGTCTGTCTACCACTTCCACTGTTGATAATCTCACTGGGATAACAGTCTTTAAAATTTCCATCTATTCGACAGTAGAGAGATGCCTCAGTGGGAAGAAGCACTTGTTTGCAAGCATTGATGTTTTGGGTTCAAACCCCAGCAGTCATCTAAAAAGCTGGGCATGGCTTTGTGTATCTGTAATCTCAGGACTGAGTGGGAGAAAGAGATGGATCCCAAAAGCTTGGCAGGCCAATTGGTCAGCCTGTCAAACTGGTGAGCTTCAAAATGGTGGTCTTCAGGAGAGACCTTTTATCAATGCAGTAAGAGTGCAACAGAAGATACGCAGGCACACACCTGTATACCACACATATCATGCATATGTATACATACATGCCATACACACACAGTAATTCAGCCACTTTGCACTTACTGGGGATATTTATCCCCATTGTAAAGCTAACATCTCACTTTCGTGGACTGACAGCAGGATTTTTATTCGAAACCTGGTTTAAATATGAAAATAGCGTCAGAACACACTACAGGCACATGAAGGCAGTATGGTCCGACATTCTGCTTGAAGATGCTGAGCCCTAACTGTTACCATTTTCCTATTTCATAGACATGTTTTCTTAATCACATAATGCAATCTGACAAAAATATATGCTAGACATTTTGTAGGAAAAAACATCTTTATTGATACGCTCTCAACTGTTTTATCTTATCATAATTTGATTTTTATGTGCATTATACCTTTTTAAATATCACAAACCATCTTTTCTTTCAAAAATGATTACAAGTGAGGATACAAAAAAATTACATACATTTTAAATTGAAAATAAAAGATCAAAAGGACATAACGTCCTTAGAAGTGTGACCAGAAAATGTAAACCTGCCAGATGTGGTGATGTACAACTTCAATCCCAGCACTTGGAGGCAAAGATAGATGGATCTGTTGTATGAGGCCAGCCTGGTCTACGTACAGAGTTCTGAGCTAGCAGGGTAACACAGACCTTGTCTCAAAAACAAGGGCACACTACTTCTGTACATGCTTAATAGGCATAATTAATTACAAAAATATAGAGTAAAAATGTATTTTTGAAAGAGTGTGCTGATCAGGTTTTTGTTTGTTTGTTTTTATTTTGTTTTGACACAAGCTAGAGTCATCAGGGAACAGGTAATGTCAATTGAGGAGTTACCTCCATTAGACTGGCTTGTAAGTAAGACAGAGGGAGTTGTTTTCCTGATCGGTGATTTATCTGGGAAGAGCCAGCCTAAGAGGACACAGCCTATTGTGGCCGCGCCATCCCTGGCAGGTGGTCCTGGCTTGTGTAAAAGTTAAGCTAAGCATTCCACAGAGGGCAAGCCACTGAGCAGTATTCCTTCATGGCCTCTGCTTCAGTTTCTTTCCTGAGTTCTCGCAACGCTGGACTGTAAAGCATCAGATGAAATATACTCTTTCTTTCCCAAGTTGCTTTTGCCCACAGTGTTAATCACAGTAACAGAAATTTAAAAAAGGAAAAATAGATATTGCCATAAGTTTAATTTTTAACTAAATTGATATTTAATAGTCTGCAGAGTATCCATTTTTTAAAAAGCACTCACTTTGGACAAAAATGTTTAAATCACATACACACATATGTACACACACATACACACACACATGACTTATGTACATGTAGGAACATATATGGACTGATATTATATAATTTCAAAATTATAACACATTAACACAGTAACAGCCAAAAGCTATCTGAACACTAAAATTCCACAAGAGGCTTTCCTTGGGTGGGGGATAATCCCAATATTACTTTCCAGACTCTAGACACTTGGTTCATACATGAACTCATATGAGAATTAGCTGGGATGCTGTGGAGAAGTATTAAATAGAGATATCCAGGCCTTTCTACATGTATAGCAATTTCCTCTGAAGCTCATTAAGACCCAGTAAGCTCTAAAAGAGGCTCCATAAGACTCAGGTAGTGAACAACACAGAAGTCTCAGGAAGTCCTGAATCCAACTAAACGTGCTACCCTCCTCCCTCCCCAAGGTTTCACAAACAGGAAGAGTAACTAAAGGGACCCAGCAATTGAGGTGCCTGGAAGTGGATGCTGACCAGCCAAGCTGCCTAAAGGTACCCTCTGATCCACTGAGCTGTTTATATGTCCTGCTACGTGCTCCAGGTCCCAGCTCTGTTGAGTTGCCACCAATGCTACGCTGGGCTTTCTGTGATGCAGCTGTCTGACTCATTCCTACCTCGGTTAAGCAATCCCTTACTCTTATTCCCGTTGGTAGCCCCAGTGTGTGCATGTGTGTGTGTGCTTGTGTGTCCTCTCCCCAGGAGAAAGTTTCTCACAGAACACTACTCAATCTGGATTAGGGTTCTAACTTTTCTTTAGGTGAGATCATTGGTACAGCTTTTTTTTTTTCTGCCATAAGGTTTTAGCCTGAGCTGGCGGTCAATTCTACTCTCTATGCATCAGACTATGCACTTCTGAGCATCTTTTGTTGCTACCACCTGATTGAGAAACATGAACCATCAGGCCCAGCTTTTTCAGCGTGTGATTCTCATCCGAGGTCTGAAAACTATGCCACGTTAGCATCTCTAATAAATTTAATTTTTCTCTTTCTTAAAACCTTCATTTTATTCCTTTAAAATAAAATCACTTTACTATCCTTAACTAATAAATAAAAAACATCAGATAGATATTTTAAGGAAGCCTTTCAAACGTTTTTTTTTTAATTAGCATGAAACCCACAGTAGAAATACAAATACACACAAACACTAACATGGCCTTTTACTCTTTCCCCTTGGTACAACACAAGTGGCTGTTTTTAAAAACTCTTTGCCAGTGCTTATTTGTATTGTTTTGCTTCAGAATCGAAGATACATTGGAGAGGGATACTGACTGATCTACCTCCGGTGTACATCGTAAGACTACTAATGGTAAGATTATTAAGTCTGTAGAACAAGATTGATCTTTATTTTTAAATTAGAACCAAAACATACAGCAGCTGAGGTGGGAAGACATTGGAGCGGATTTTCTATCTCAACTGAAACTGGCTACAAGCAGCTGGGGGGAAGAGCCGTTACTGGGTATGTATGCAGTCTCCATGGTGGTCACCTCTAATTGTCAACTTGGCATAAGCTAGAATCACCTGGGCAGAGTCAGTCCTGCTATAGATTAGGCTGGCCTGTGGGCATGGGCATGAGGGTGGGGTTGTCCTGATCGCCTTACCTGGGGTGGAAGGACTTCAGTGAAGGTAAAATGGAAGCAAATGGAACTGCTTTATTGGCAGATGGGGAGGGGGTGCAGGATGTGGGGGTTTTCAGGCCCAACTGAGAAAGCAGCTGTAAATGATAAAGA